ACCAGGTTGGCTTGGATCACACAGATATTTGCCTACTTCTGCCTCCCAAGTGCTAGGATTAAGGCATGCACCACCACACCCAGCTTACATACGCAATTTTTAAAAATATTTTATTTATTGTTTTTATTTTGTGTGTATGAGTATTATGCCTGCATGTAGGTAAGTGCACCCATGTTGTGGAATGCCCACGGAGGGCAGAAGAGGCTGTCAGATCCCCTGGAACTGGAGTTACGGACAGTTGTTAGCTTCCATATGGGTGCTGGGATTCGAACCCCGGTATTCTGCAAGAACAGTGTTCTTAACCGCTGAGCCATCTCTCCAGCCCCTAGATATGTATTTTTAAGAGAAAACTAGACCAGGTATCTGAGTGTTTGCTGTGTCTTAAAAATCAACTGGCCAAATGTGATAGATACGTTTTATAAATAAAGTTCTTTTTTTTTTTTTTTTTTTTTTTTGGTCTTTTTTGAGACGGGGTCTCCCTGTAGCCCCAGCTGTCCTGGAACTCACTATGTAGACCAGGCTGGCCTCAAACTCACAAAGCTCTGCCTGCCTCTGCCTCCCAAGTGCTGGGATTAAAGGCGTGTGCCACCACGCCCGGCATAAATAAAGTTCTTGACACGCTGTCACATTCACTCATTTTTTCATTGTCTATGGCTGCTATCTCTGTAATGATAGAACTAGATAGTTGCAATAGTGACTGTATGACTCATAAAGCCATAATATTATTATCTGGCCGTCTTCACAAAAAACTTTATGCTCTCCAGCCCTAGAGGGGGAAAAACAAACTCGCCGAGAAGAGATATGAAACATAAGAGTACACAGAATCTTAAATTCTGGCAGCAGGAAAACAATCCAGTATGGTGGTATTTGCTTGTCATTCCAGCACTCAAGAGGCTGAGGCAGGAGGAATGCTGCAAGTCTGAGACCAGCCAGGCAGGAATGCTGCAAGTCTGAGACCAGACATGGTTCCTTGTCTTAAAGGAAAGAACCAAATAAAGGAACGAAGGAAGGAAGGCAAAGAAGGGAGGGAAACGGAGGGAGGAAAGAAGGGAAAGAAACCAAAACAAAGATAAGTTGGAAAAAGTACATCAAATTACACTGTTTAAAGTAACACAATCCACCCCGGAAACAAATATTTCATTAAAAATAGGGGGGCTGGAGAGACGGCTCAGCAGTTAAGAGCACTCACTGCTCTTGCAAAGGACCCGGGTTCGATTCCCAGCACCCACATGGCAGCTATGAACCGTCCTTAACTCCAGTTCCAGGGGAATCCGAAGCCCTCTTCTGACCTCCGCGGCACTGCAGGACAAGGGTGCACTCACATGCAGGCAATACACTCAGACACATAAAATAAAAATAATAAAATATTTTCTTTAAAAAATTAAATAGCGCGGAAGTGAGGTGTAGCTCAGTGGTAGAGTACTTGCCTAGCCTGCATGATGCTTGATCCCTAGCACCGACTACCGCCCCTCCAAATCTACCCAAAAAAGAAAATCACACACCAAAGATTGAGTAATAAGCACATTCATCTCTAACGTTCATGACTAGAAAGTCCTTCCTGAATTCATGTAACTGTCCAAGAAACAGAGAAAGCGATCCCTCCCACAGCACTCACACCTCCTCTTCCCACAACTACAGATTTATCTCCATGGAAACAGGTCGGTAACACTTATTTACAGGAAAACTCTGCAAACAGCACACTCCCCCTTCGAAACATTTTCAATGCAGTCCCAATGAGAGATGAAAATAATTTTATTTTTTCGCCTTTTTGAGACGGGGTCTCCCTGTAGCCCCAGCTGGCCTGGATTTGCTATGGAGACCAAGTTGGCCTCAAACTCAGAAAGATTTGCCTGCCTCTGCCTGGGATTAAAGGTGTGCGCCACCATGCTCAGCTTAGATGAAAATAAATCTATGTGCACTAGTACAACTTCGTGTTTTATGAATTCATAGCTCCTCCAAAAAATAAACCCATTTCATTTCCCTCATTGTTACAATGTAGAGGTAAAATCCACAAAAATGTACAATTAATTTTTGATAAACTTCCAGAGATTACTGGGTAAACTTTTCCAATGCTGGTTGGAAAACTCTGTAAACAATTTCTGACATCTTGTTACCAATAACTGTGGACATGGACACAGAGAAGGCCCATGTAACATTGCATATAGCTTTTATATTTCTTTACAGTTTTATCTAAAGCTAAGCATTATTGGTATTTTTGAATCAAATAAATTCTTAATGCAGCCCTGGGTATTGGAGGGTGTCAACCCAGCCTCTACCCACAGCTATGACAACCAAAAATGCTTCCAGACATTACCAAATATTTGAAAATTACTGCTTTACAGTACCTTGATGTTACAGTTTGGCCAAGATGTCACCTAAGGAAGCAGCATAAAACTCTGGACCTAAGGTAACGCTACCAGTCATCTGAGAACATGTATTCACAGGGCTAGAGATGGCTCAGTAGTTAAGAGCACTGGCTGCTCTTGCAGAGGACAGGGATTTGGTTCCCAGCACCCACATGGCAGTGAACAAATATCAGTAACTCCAGAGGATCCGATGCCCTCTTCTAGCTTCTGCTGGCATCACATGCATGTGGTACACTTACATACATGCAGGAAAAACACTCATACACATAAAAATAAGTTTAAAAATAAGGAATATACATTTAAAAGAAGAATTTCATGTGTTATAGGAAAAGAGTTATCTGGTTGACCTAAACACTGGACATCATCTCTTCATCCTGCAATTTAAACCCACCTCTACCATCTCTATTCCTGGTATATGTCAAAGTCCCTTTAGGCTTTAGCCCTAAGAGGTCATGGAGCCTTGGCTTGAGCATTTTCATTGATGGAAAATGAGATTTGCACTACCAGAAAGTTCTATTAAAAACAAAAACAACCAAGAAAAACCCACCGTTCTTTATACCAAAAGCTAAACCCCAACTCTCTGGAAGTTCCTCCTTCTTGCTTCTACTTAATACAGCTTACTTACTGTAAATTCCAGTAATGAGAATATGAGGGGCTGGGGATATGCTCAGCCAGTGAAGTGCTTGCCATGCAAGCCTGAGAACCTAAGTTTGGAACCCCAGAATGCATGTAAAAAGCTGGGTATTGTGACCACTTATAATCCCAAGTACAGGGGAGATAGAGACAGGAGGATCCCTAGGGATAGCTGGTCAGCCAGTTTAACCAAACTGGTGAGCTCTAGGTTCAGTAATAAACCCAGTCTCAAAAAACACGGTGGAGAACAATCTAGGAAGATGTCATACACACACACACACACACACACACACACACACACACACGTACGTACGTACGTACTTATGCATATACCACATACACACAAAAGGCTATTAAGGGGGCTGGAGAGATGGCTCAGCAGTTAAGTGCACTTTATGCATATACCACATACATACAAAAGGCTATTAAGGGGGCTGGAGAGATGGCTCAGCAGTTAAGTGCACTGGCTGTTCTTACACAACACTCAGGTTCAGTTCCAAGCACCCACATGGCGGCTAGCAACTGTCCTTAACTCCAGTTTCAGGGGCTCCAATGCCTTCTTCTGACCTCTGTGGGCATCACATGACACAGATGCACTTATACATATGCAGGCATTACACTCATACACATGAAATAAAAATATTTTAAAGAATATTAAATAAGTATATTGATATTGTTTAGTGAAATAACTTGTTAGTGTGTGAATCAGAACATTAATGCCCTATATATACATCATTTTAAATTTTGAGAAATAAATCACACGAAAAGTTAAAATCTTACCAGACATTCTGGTTAAACTATTACCCACAGATTCTTTGTGACTGTTTTGTGTTTATGAGGCAGGGTCAACCTATGCACCTGAGGCTGGCCTGAAATATTCCCTCCTCCTGTGTCAGCTTCCCAACTGTTGGGACTACAGGCATGTGTCATCATGCCCAGCTAACTGGATTCTTTTTAGCTCAAAAATATATTGTCTGTGATTTTGGCCCATAGAGGTACCCATTTACTATCTTAATGAGTACGGGATGAGGAGAGTATATTCTAAGTATCTTTATTAAGAATTATGTTGCCATTAAAAAAAATCCTTTCCATGATAACCAGAGCCTTTCAAATGAACTGCTAAGTAATCATCAAATTTATATACATATCAGATACAGTGAAGGTAAGGATGGGTGTGCTGACGTTTTCAATTCATTCATTCTAAAATGAAGCCAAAGTCCAATTTGGGAGAAATAAAACCGAGACTCAAAGTTGATGGTCAGAAGTGGAATTCAAGCCCAGCCTATATAGTTTACAATTCAATGCTGTGTACACTGCATTTGTTTTTTCAAAGTTATTCAAGAATCATTCTGTTTGATACATTCTAAATTCAGCAAATATAATTTTGTTTATAGTCATGTAAGGAAAAACTGCTAAGTAATCATGATTATAGTAATACTGATTTATACTTGCAAACTCGTTTGGGAGAGTGGAAGAAAGAGGTTGGGTCCTACCAACAGTCTGCATTAATTTAATTTCCTTAAAGAACTTAATTGTAAAATAAGCAGCTATCTATCACACATTTACATACATAACCTGTTCAACAAATATTAACTTTCTGTAAGAACACCTCCAGCCCAATTAGGCATTTGTACATCTCTTTAAAAGAAAAGAGTTTTCAGTAAGTACAAAGCAGTGACTTGTGAAGATGGAATGTGTGAGTTTAACAAAAAATAAAGGGTGGAGTCCAAGAACCAAAGGCATTCCAGTGTTACTGGGATGACAACTTCATTACAAACCAATTCTTCACTCATTCATTCATTCATTCAATAGATATTTATTGAGGGCTTGCCATATGTATAAGGCTAAAAGAATAGACAAAATGATACTATTCACTTTCATTCTGTATCAAAACACTGCCAAGTAATAAATATAAAATGACAAATAATAACAAAAAAGAAAAAGACACTGTATTTATTTTGGATGGCTGCGGCAAAACACACCGGGTAAAAGACTCCTTACTTCTATTTCTGCAGATTCCACCCGGTTTTCAATTATTTCGATACACTGTCTCTTAGCTGGTGGCTCTTCACTGATAACAGTTTCTTCAGCAATGTCTGTTGCTGGTACTGTCAATACTAAAATGAAAAAAATATACACATTACTTCAACCTCAGAGTCTAGACTTAAAGCAAGTCCCACAACTGTGGATGCTACTCATCTAGAACATGAGCACCCGGAAGAAATCCCAAGCACCTGCCGGGCTGTAGAGAGAGAGATGTGGGGTGTGAATGTGGCAGACAGTCCGTTCTCTCTTTCCCCTTTAAGTGGGCTCCAAACTCAGGCTGCCAGACTTGCACAGTCAGTGCTTTCAACTGCTGAGTCATCTTGACAGTGCCACCTTTTTTTGAGACAGCTAGGCTTTGCTGGCCAACAAGCTTCAGGGATCACCTGTCTCTGCACCCCCACCCCACCCCTGCCCCAACTCCTATACCAGTGCTAAGGTCATAGATGCATGCCACCAGACCTGCCTTTTTACTCAAGTGCTGCTGTTCTGAATTCAGATCCTCACACTTGCACAGCAGGCACCTTAACAAATGAGCCATACCCCCAGTTCCTGATACAATCCCTTTTTTTCCTCTATTACTTTTAAAATATTATTTTTATTTTATGTGTATGATTGTAATGCCTGCATGTATATAAGTGTACCACATGTGTGCAATGCCTGAGGAGGTCAGAAGAGGGCATCAGATAGATCCCCTGGAACTGTAGTTATGGACAGTTGTTAGCTCCCATGTGAGTGCTGGGAACCAAACCCAAACCCTCTGTAAGAGCAGCCAGTGCTCCTAACCACTGAGCCATCTCTCCAGTCCCAAGATTAGTTTTAATATATTTTATGTGTATGAGTGTTATGCTTGAATGTACATATGTGCACCAGTGCATGCCTGGTACCTGTGGAAGCCAGGGAGAGAGTATGTAGGGTTACCTGGAGCTAAAGTTATAGATGGTTGTGAGCCACAGTGTGGATCCTAGAACTGAACCCAGGTTCTCTACAAGAGCATAACCAATAAGTCATTTCTCCAGCCCCTTAATCTCCCTTTTCTTTCCTTGATGCTACATTATGGGTTCCACCAGAGCCCTCCTGCTCTGATTATAATGGTCTTAAGATGTTTCTTGACAGCACGCAAAATGTGGAATTTTTAGGTTTTCTCGGTCTTTTAGTGTCACTAAAATGCACCTATTGTTTTATCTATCTTGTAACTCTTTGTGATGTCTAAAAAGAAAAAAAACAACTCAAAAATTTCACAATAAAGCTTTCTGGCCTATGCTGGAGACATCCTTCTTGGAACCCCTGTCCTCTGACTCCAGTCTGGATTTGCTTTCCAGGTCTGTGGCATAGCTGATGTCTTGAGGTCTCTCTTTACCATCAACCTTGGGGATCCTCTCCCATTCTGTTGGGTCCTTATTTTCTGAAGCCATCTATTCTTTCTGGTTTACACTAGCTTTTGCTAGAACCTATCTTCTAGTTTGGGTTTTGTTCTTTGGGTTTTTTTTGTTTTTTGTCTTTTTGAGACAGGGTCTCCCTGTAGCCCCAGCTGGCCTAGAACTCACTATGTAAACCAGGTTGGCCTTGATCCCACAGAGATCCTCCTGATTCTGCCTCCTGAATGTGGAGATTAAAAGGCGTGCACCACCATGCCCACCTCCAGTTAAAGTATTCTTCCTATTACCAGAAAATATATTTTCTACTGTTGGCAAGTCAGTTAATTTGGTGGAGGAACTTCCCAGAGAAGCTAAAGTAGCAAGTGGAAATTTTGCCATACTTAAAACCAGACAGCCCTCTAGTTTCTCACTACCTCAGAACGGTGTCTGTTCACCCACCATATCAAACATCTGGTGCCCACATGGCCTTGCCCCTCACTGAGAACAGCTATAGTACTGACATACTACCTTTAGACTGTATGGGAGCCAGTAAAAGTAGCGCCAGACTTTGGACTTCAGTCTTTTCCATGACTTTATTATGCCGAAACACAGCGTACAACTCAAGCCCTCTGGGGATACCAGACCACCCACTGCTGCTTGGGTGAGCATGTCACCAAAACCTTGCAAAGGTTGTCAAAACATGCACTGGCATGCATTCTGGGCATATCTCCAGGATTCGCATGTGATAGCAGACCCTCAGCCAGCCTGCCCTGGGGCAAAAAGGCAGAAGGGCACTCTCTGGACAGATGTCATAGAAATGGCAAATTTGGAATCTCCTTCAGAAGCAGAGGGGGTGGGGGTGGTTCAGGAACAGAAGGTCATGCCACCTCTGCCCTCCTGTGGCCTACAGAGGAGTGTGTTGTTGCATATGCTTAATGAGGCAGCATTCCCATATCCTTCCCACTCTGTCCTCTGCTAAACATTTCTTACAGTAGATACAGACAGTCAAGGGACAGTGGGTTCAAGTGGCCAATTTCTTCCACAGCCCAGGTATGCTCTTAGGCTTAAGAAGAAGGCTCTTCTCCAACACGGACATATTGTTAGGTCAGGGGATGAATCTTAGGAGCTATCTTCTGGACATCTCTGAGGGGTGAAGAGTGTGGTGCCAAGATCCCCAGTATCTGTAGGCTACAGCGGAAGCAGGAGTGAAAAGCAGGGTATGGAGGATTCTGCTGACACAGCTCACTTGCTTGACCGAGCTTATGGGGTGCACTCACTTCCTATGTGTGGTGAGACACCCGCACCAACCTGCTCATTTTCATACTCACTCTTATGGGGTGCACTCACTTCCTATGTGTGGTGAGACACCCGCACCAACCTGCTCATTTTCATACTCACTCTTATGGGGTGCACTCACTTTAGATGTGTGGTGAGACACCCGCACCAACCTGCTCATTTTCATACTCACTCTTATGGGGTGCACTCATTTCCTATGTGTGGTGAGACACCCGCACCAACCTGCTGATTTTCATACTCACTCTTGCACGCACACACTGCTTTAGTGCTATCTTGATGAGAGACATAACAAGTTTCCAAGCTGGAAACATTCTCCCTGGAGTTTTGTGTTGGTAGAAGGACCCAGGTTGCAGCTTCCACAGCTGTGCTGCCACACTGAGAGCACAGAGGGCTCAGTCATCCTTGCTCTCAGCAGACTGGTATCTTCCTAGGGCTTACATTTCCCATGTTCCTCACATCCTCTGGCTCATTTTTAAAGTCCATTCTTTACAAACTGCAACTAGGAATTTGATGACCATTTTCCTCTTCTTTTCGGAAATTTACTTGAATCAAAACCAATCAAAACCAAATCACAGCCAAGAGTGGTGGCACATGCCTTTAGTCCCAGCACTCGGGAGGCAGAGGCAGGTGGATCTCTGTGCGTTCCAGGCCAGCCTAGTCTACATAGCAAGTTCCAGGCCAGCTGGGGCTACAGGAAGACCCTGTTTCAAAAAAGACCAAAAAAGAAAAACCAAAAAACAAATCACTGTCCCCTTTGGGATAAGTTTCCTAATCACTCTTCCAACCGTATCTTGGCTGCTTCACTATTTTAACATCTTAGGCTAATACAAATTAGTTCAAATGTTCATTTGTGCCCCCAAATACAGATTTCCTCTCTTCTTTTTTTAAATAACAATTCCATCTTTTAGGCTATTTCTATGAATACAGCTGATCATAAATATCACTGGAAAGAGTATATAGCTCACATGAGCACACTGAGCACAGTGTCTAGGGCACTGAGCAGAGCGCTGCAGCAGTTACTGAACTCGTGGCTTAGCCATGTATGCAGTAGAGGCTTCTGGTCTCACAGAGAAGACCCCTGCCATCTTGGCAGCAAATACACAATGTCTCGACATTCTGTCTTCAAGCTTCCAGAGCTCCACTTCCAGGTTCTCTCACTTTCCAAACTCTGCCCACTCTGCTGAGAGCAAGGATCTGGGGCATATCTTCAACTTATTCTTAAAAGTTTTTCTTATGTGTTTTTTTTTAAGTTCATATGATATCTGAATTGCATTAAATGTTCTAAGAAATTATCCAATGATGATTTGGAATTATTTGCACATTGTTTGTGGCAACACTTAAAGTTTGATTTCCAAACAGAATGCTTTGAGGTCAATTTCTTTTCACCTACTAAGTGCTCAAAGTAAGCTAGTTCTAATATTAGCCTAAGCACATAAAATCAGGCAACTATATTCATTGTAAAAGGCTACAAATACAAAATTCAATGCAAAAAATAAATGCATTGTAAGCACAATTTCCTGAGTACTGAATATAAACAGACCATGTAAATATCTGGTACTAACCTTGCTGTCCATCTGGCATCGTCACAATGATGGGCTGACCTATTCCACTTGTTGGAATGGAGTGCAAATTTCCAAGCTGAATTCCATCTGTAACTATCGTGATGACTTGCTGACCTCCTGAGCTAACTACTTGCTGAATTGCACCATCCACAGATTCTGCAGTAACCACTTCTTCTGTGGCCACTACTGGAGGGGAAAAAGAAAAAGGTAAAAAAATCACTGAATATATCTAACACTATGAATACACATATTTTTTCTTTGCTTGTTTCTTAGGACAATTTTTACACGCTTTTAAATCTCATCACCAGTGGTAATACAGTTATCTATGTAAATAGTTGATTACAGGATTCACAATTAACAACTGAGTTCTAGCCATCTTGCTATGACTACATTTCAATAAAGGTTTGGTGTTTTTTTTTTGTCTTTTTGAGACAGGGTCTCCCTGTAGCCACAGCTGGCCTGGATTCACCATGGAGACCAAGTTGGCCTCACTTCTTTAACTTCTTTATAGTTCTCTGTATCTTCTGTACGTGAAGGACAAATATAAGATCTCTTAAAGTAATAAAAGGTTATACTATCTCTATTTAATAAAATCCCACAATTCAAAGCAGAATTTTAAGTATGACCATAGTCTAGACACATTTACATGCCAACAAATACAAAGAATTAACAGCACTCCTTGGACTGAGTGATGGCTGCATATAGCAGCACACAGAGCACATGCTATATGACGGGGAGCAAGTCAACCTTTCCATAAATCAAGCCCCCAAAAAGATTCTCAGTAATTTTTAAGAGGTGCAGAGAGGGTTCTAATCCTTAAAAACTTCACCTCTGCCCTTGCCTAAATAAAGAAATCACAAGTTAAAACTGCCAAAATCCTTTCCCACAGGCAATCCTACACTGATACCAAAAGACATGCACATGAACATTCCTAACAGCTTTACTGTGAATAGTAAAAAACAAACCAAAAAAAAACCCCTAGAACTAAACCAGATATTCATTGACAGAAATAAATTGTGGCTGGACATGTTGGTGTATGCCTTTAATCCCAGCACTTAAGAGGCAGAGGCAGGAGGATCTCTGTGAGTTCAAGGCCAGCCTGGTCTACATAGTGAGTTCCAGGCTAGCTGGGGCTACAGGGAGACCCTGTCTCAAAAACTCAGACCAGGAAGGACGGAAAGACGGGAGGGAGGGAGGAAGGGAGGGGGAGGGAAGGAAGGAAGCAAAAATTGTGGAGTCATATAATTGAATACAACATGTTTATTAAAATAATTATACATGGGGTTGGAGAGATGGCTCAGTGGTTAAGAACATTGGTAGTTCTTGCAGAAGACCTGGGTTTGAATCCCAGCACCCATATGGCAGTTAACAAACTGTCCATAACTCCAGTCCCAGGGGATCCGACAGCCTCTTCTGACCTCCGAGGGCATTGCACAACATGGGTGCACTTACCTACATGCAGGCAATACACACATACACATTAAAAAAAATTAATAATAATAAATAAAATTTAAAAAATTAATACATAAAATATGGACGAATATAACAAATATTAAGCAATGTAAAACACACAAGGATATATATACTGTACCTTCCACTTAAGAACTGAACAATTATTATCCTGGAGTGAATTTTTCAAAACTTTGTAATAATAACATTTTTTTAAAAGGAGAGAAAGGGGGCCAGGTATGGTGGCTCACACCTTTAATCCCAGCTCTTGGGAGACAGAGACAGGTGGATCTTTGTGAGTTCGAGGCCTTCCTGGTTTACATAGGGAGTTCCAGACAGCTGGGGCTACAGGGAGACCCTGTCTCAAAAAGACAGAAAGACAAAAGAGAGAGAGAGAGAGAGAGAGAGAGAGAGAGAGAGAGA